TAACAGAAGCTCTGTCTGTTGGGAAGTGTGGGAGAATGCTTGGGGGAAGTGCAGGAGCAAAGACTTGGAAAATGGGAAGAATAATTCGGAGGGTCTTGGAGATAGGGGTCCTGTTTTGCCCCTTTCATTATCCCGTCAAGCCTGGAGCAGGGTCTTGTATATCTCAGGTAGCCGATCCTTGTTTACAGAATGCCTTTGTTTTAAAGGAGCGAGTTGATGGCTAATATACATCTCAGAATTTTCCATAATTAGGAACAGAAGTATTGAGAAGGGCTACAGTTTGGAAAAATTATTGCCTCTCTTGCTTTGTAATTATGGTTAATATGCCCACTTAGGAACTGGGAAGAGGCAGTGCATGAGCTGGTAAAATGGTGCAACCCACGTCTTTCATGAAATCATCGCTTTGGACCCTAAAATTTTAGAAAACCAAAATTTGTGTTATGATTTATTTCACTGGAGTGAGACGGAATACTAGCTCCCACATGCCCACATGTAAGGCCCTCAAAAAACAAGATTTAAAAGAAATAAGATTTTCTGCTCCAATATTTACTTTTGGCTTTCAGAGAAGCATATCAAAATTGAACTTTGAAGATGTTTGCTGATAGGCAGAGAATATTATCATCTTAATTAATTCAGCGAGCCGTGGGCATTGGGAGTGATCAGGAGAGTGGTATGGTGAAATTATGTGGAGCTAGCATAATGTTCAGCCCATAAATGTTATTTTAGATTGTTGGTTTGGAAAAGATCTTTGGCGTTGAAATATGGCTTTGAATATAGCTGAGGAGGAGGATAGCGTGTGGAGGGTTGGGGTAGCGGTCAGCTGGAGCAGAGTGCAGTGGGCCTTAAATAACACTGGAGTAAATATCTACTTGCACAAATAGTCCCTGGGGTGCCTGGAGAGACACCTGTTGATTGTTTCAGACCAGCCTGGTGATGTGTTGATGACATGGGGTTATTAAATGTACTTAATCACGAGGTGGAAGGTTTCAATTTGGTTTCATTCGTCCACGTGGGTTGAGTAGGGTTTGGGCAATTGATATACAGTGATGTGTAACAAAGTTCACCTTTAGATGCAGGATGTCCTTCCCTTGGAATTAAAGAAACGCTCAGGTTTATAGTCTAGGATCCCCTCCTTGTTTTCCATTGGGGTGTCTGAGAAGTTTGATTGGTGAGCAGAGAATCAGAGCAGAGTGTGTGCTGGTTGGTCTTCTGGTCTCTTTTCATGCAGCCTCTGATGGAACCTGGAGAATTTGTCGAGCTCTCGGTTAAACCGTTCTCTTCTAGAACCCGGAGCACCTCTGAGTGTCTGCTCACTTCTTAGGTGCTCATGCTGTCCTTCTGTCCCCTGCTGCCATTCAGGATTCCTCCCGGACCACTTTCATTACTTCTTTCCTGGTGCACAGGCATGGTTGTTAGTTTCCAGTGTTACATCATCTGTTTCATTAGTTACATTTTAGGTTGATGTCCCTTGGGAGCATATTAGCCTCCTTGCTAAGGTTCTGAGCCAAGCTCCAATTGTGATCAGCAGCATACCTAGCTGTTTGCTTTTGGGAGGAGCAAGAGTTCCCCAGATGGCTAGTGTCACCTGTTTTATGTTGGTTCTTAGTATTTGAGGTTGAGAGTATTTTGACACATTCTCAGATTTTTTCCATCCTTTTTCGGTCTGTAGTTATGGAGGTGGTCCTTTTTGTAACAGCCTATAGGAGGCAGGAAGCGATGTCATTGGTTACCTTCGAATTCCCTCTCTCCCTCTCATGTCTTTTGGGACTGGATCTTAAAACTGTTTTCTTTGTTTACTGTTGGAATCGTCCATCTCAGGGTCTGTTTCCTCTTCTGCTTGTCTTTTAACCACTTCCTGACACAGCTCTTTCCTTTGACCACAGGAAAGAACCGGAGGCTGAAGCAGGCCAAGGAGGAGGCTCAGGCTGAGATTGAACAGTACCGCCTGCAGAGGGAGAAGGAGTTCAAGGCCAAGGAAGCTGCGGTGGGCCCGCTCCCCTCCTCACTGCTTTAGTCTCCCGAGGCTGCCCTCCCCTCCCCTCCCCCGGCTCTCCAAATAGCCAGCATTGTGTATCAATCGGAGATTCTGATTCTGGTAGAAATTTGAAAATTGGGTTATTGAGTGCTGAGGCTGAGTCTGTTAGGGTGATCAGTATTTAACTGACATTGAATCCTAGTGTTGTTCAGTCATTTAACAGATATCCATTGAACAGCTAGTGTGTGCCGGGTTCTGGGCCAAGTGCTGGGGGCTCAGCGGTGAACAGAAATAGACGAGATCCCTGCCGCATGGAGCTTAGCTTCTAGTCTCATCAGGGAGACTCAGTCATAAAGTGCGAGTCATGAAACCCACAGGTGTGGACACAGCTGCCACCATCGTCAACACGAATTAAATGGAGCCCCCCTTGAGTGTCGTGTAGACAGCGCCACTTACCAGGAGTATAGGGTGGACCACGATGTGTAAGATGCGTATGATAATAGTACAGAAACAGGTTGCAGAGAGTACAGAGGAAGCGGGGAAGATTCTGGAAAGGGGAAAGGATGGAGGAGGGCTTCACAGAAACTGTCGGGGACTCTTAGATACAGGTAACAGGAAGCTATTCCAGTTGGTAAGCACAGTAAAATTTATTGGCCTATATAATTAAAAACCCAGTGAAAGACTAACTTTATTTTCATCCGGGAGCTTAAATAATGATCTGAAGACTCTATTTCCATCTGTCCCCTCTGCCCTTGGCTCTCTGGGCTTCAGGCTCAAGTTCTTATTGCGGCCTCCGCTCGTTCACAGCTCCCCCCTCCAGTCCAAGTCCATGATAAAGACGCGTGCTCCCTCTCAGCAGTGAGTGGCAGAAGTTTCGTTCCTCTTTGCACTGGTGATTACAGTGCTTTTAAAACTTCACGTGTTTCTGACTACTGAACTGGGGCGCGTTGGTGCATAAATTGTCAGACTGGTCACGAAACACTGCAGAAACACTCTCGTCAGGGCAGCCCCCTCGCCTCCTTGTTTTTACCTCCGGGTTGCAGTTGCTCACAGAGGCCCTGTCAGTGCCGCACTCTAAGCGTGAGCTCTGACTTGTTCCGAGTGCCACTGTAACCTCTTCGGTTTTAGCGTCCTGGGGCTTGACATACAGTTTACATTCATAGGAACAGAGATAGTGGTTTTTTTCTTTTTTCCCATGAGCAAGCGTTACGGACTTTTAAAAATACGTGTTAGCAACTGAGCTCACCACTGTGCAATGCCCCGGGGTATTCCTGTTACGTGAACAGTTGGAGCGTAGTGTGATGAGCCCTCAGTTTGAACTCAGAAAGCTTGGGTTTGACTCCCCGCTCCCCTTGACCTCTGAGCCTTGGTTTCCTCATCTCTGGAAAGGGCAGCGATGCCCTCCTTGGAGGGCGTGGAGGGGTAGATAACGTGAGAGCGTGCTTCGTAAGCTGTAATGTGTCACATAAACAGGAAGGGATGCAGTTGTTGATGTACACATAATGAGGCCAGAGCAGCTTAGCTGACAGAAAAGGCCAGACGCAAGAAGTTACGTCTTCACGAACCCGAGGGGGGCATGTTCTAGTAAAGTAGGCACAGAAGTTAACAAAACGCCAGCCATCCTGTGGAGACCGTAGAAGATGAAAGAAAATTTATCGGTCAGTGTATGTTAATTGGGAGTGGAGACTGAAGGGTCAGACATGCGTATGATAAAAAATGCAAGCAACAAAACGAGGCGACAGTGAGAAGCGAGTGTCCCTCCCACCCAGACTTGCAGTCTTCCTCGGAGACCGGCACTGCCAACAGTTCCTGCTGTGTTCTTCTAGAACATTCATATTTAAAAGAACAGGTGTCATGTATTCATAATAGTGAATCTGCTGCTGAACTTAGAGCTAAAACATTAACTAGTAATGGCGAAACTCCGTATGTGCCCCCTAAATTGAGCCCCCCTTGTGTTTATTGTTTTCACACCATCTGTCTCCCTTTTGAAACCACACAAGGACACGTAGATAGGAACCACACTGATACGATTCTGTCTCTTGCTTTTTTCCCCTTAAACTGCATATTTTACAGTTCATTGCATCTTGCTGTACACATCTGCCTTGTCTTTCTTAATGGCTCAAGAGTGTTCTCTGGTGTGATGCCCCGTCATTTGTTTAACCAGCCCCTCGCCTCTTGAGGTTCATTCCAGTCTTAGACTCTAGAGAGAGGTGAACATATCACTCTGGGATAATTTCTGTGCAGATTACCTTTTGATAGGCGTTTTAACGTTGGCCACCACAGTGCTTGCATCAGTTGATGCTCCCATTAACTCTGTGGGAACGCCAGCTCCCCGCATGCTCGTCAGTCATGAGGTTGCTTTGCCGATTGCTGATTATTTATATTTATCGCTGAGACTGGGTTTCTGCGGAAGTAAGAAAGCTGCTTACCAAATGTTGTTCCTGGCCACCCGGCGTGCCGTCCTATGTGTCATTGCTGTGTGTCATTGCTTCCCACCCCCAGGCTCTGGGATCGCACGGCAGTTGCAGCAGCGAAGTGGAGAAGGAGACCCAGCAGAAGATGAGCATCCTCCAGACCTACTTCCGGCAGAACAGGGATGAAGTCCTGGATGACCTCTTGGCCTTCGTCTGCGACATCCGGCCAGAAATCCACGAAAACTACCGCCTAAATGGATAGAGGAAAGCGGAAGATGCGCCTGTTCCGTGGGTGGGCATTTCAGATGCCTTCATGGAATATGAAGCTTTAGCAGAGCTTGAGTTACATTCTTGTGGAAAGGCATTAAATTATTTCTGTATATTATGTAGTAGATCCCTTTGCTTTTTGGAGAATAGCAAATCTAGCTTCTTCATACAAACTTAGAGCTTATCCAAAGATTTCATTTTTTTCACCTCATTTCTTAGAATTTTAATAAGTATGCATTGTTTGTTTTCCTATGCCTTTTAGCTCAAGCAGTATATATATCTATACTAACTTCTTCTGTCTTAGATGTAGTAAAAACTTTTTTTTAAGAAAGAAAGGGATAAAATATTTTTTTCCCTAAAGCTTTCTTGAAGGTCAGGGGCTTCTCTATGAAAAAGTAGTAAATAGTCATTTGTAACGTGTGAAGCAGCAGCCGGCCTTAAAATAGTCGTTTCTGCCTGAGGGTTAGAACAATGAACACCACTATAATTGCTTGGGCTGCTTTTAGTGTATCTAAGTCAAAATTGCTAGATGATAGAATTCAAGAACTTGTTACATGTTATCCCTTGGTGTACAGATAATCATTTAAAAGTAAAGACTCTTTGTCGTGCATTTTTTCCCCCTCTGGTTTATCCTTTTTGATAATGCAAAGTGCTCTTTGACCCGGATGTTGTGCAGAATTTCCCTTAGGAAACTCAGTTAGCACGTGTCACACGCACGTTCACACACATAGTTAGGAAAATATTCATGGTCTGTATCTTAGCAGGAAGGAAATCACTTGTGATTTTATCTAACAGCTGTTTTGAAAAATAGCAAGAAATTAATATGTCTGCAGTGTGCCTTTCTCTGTGGTGCGTGTCCTGGGGTAGGGCGGCCTTGGGCAAGTTATCACGTATATTTCCTTCCTGGTGGGCTAAACGATGTGTGTATTACATGTAGTAATGTGACACTAGCACTTAAGACTTAAATGCCCTGTGACCCTGCCTCTGTGAGCCAAAAGTCTTTGGCTGTGAAATAATTTCTGGTAGGCAGAAACCGTTGAAGGAGAACATTATGGGATTTCCTTGCTTCTGAAATATTACAAGAGAGTTAGATGGCCTTTTAAAAATCTTCTGTTTATGACTCAGGATGGGTTGATCTCAGGCCACTTCTGTCTCCAGTTCCTGTTCCTTTTTACGGTAGAATTCCTTAGAAGAGTTTTCTGTACGAGATTTTCCATTTTTCACTTTGAAGACAGTCAGGCTCGGCCTCCGCTGGGACTGCTTGTCAGGGTCAGCAGTGAGGACCAGATGGCGAGGGCCAGTGCTCTCCGCACTTGACCTTCAGTGCTGTTTGACAGGGTTGGCTGTTCCTTCTGGAACCACCTTCTTAGCCTCCGTTCTGCGCTCACGTGCTGCCTTGCTCCTCAGTCTCTTGCCTGTTCCTCTTCATCCTCCCGAGGATTTGCTCTTGGATTTCTGTACGTTCATTCCCTTGTTGAGACCATCTCCATTGCATGCCTTTAGGTACCATCTATATTGAAGACTCAAATTTATATGTCCAGCTTATCTCGTCTCAACTCTAGAGTTCTCAGATTGCTTATTTGATATTTTGATTTGGCTGTCTGGTAAACAGTCTCCATCTTAACACGTGCCAAACTATACCCAGTTTTGTTAGGGCTTTTTCTCTTGGTATTGCTAAGTGTACCTCTGCTTGCTGCAAATACCGATTCCCCAAACTGGAGGACCAGGAAGAAGAAACGCCTGCATTCACTGGTTTAGTTAGTATCTTTAGCTTGGTTGCCACCAGTCTTTCTGTCCTGGATTAATAGGGTTGCACTTTTATGACTGCTTGACTGTTAATTTCCAGCCAAACAGCTGAATGTTGCTAAAGTCACGGAAGTAACAGGGAAGTATTTCAAAAAATCACCATCTGAAAATTAAAGAGCTTGGTGACCTGGGAGGGAGGAACCTAAATGGTTTGAAGGGTGAATTGAAAGTGAGTGAGTGGAGAAACCCTGGGCTGTGAAGGGAAAGAAAGAGCCGTGGTGGTGGCTGATGGAGGACGTGGTTGAGGGAGGTGATGACATGTGGGCTGGTGGGGAAGGGAATAGAGGGAGCGAGACGAAGTCGCTGGGTGGAGTGAGATGCCCGAGGCTTCTGGAGGCCCCGAGATCCAGGGCCCAGGTGGAGGGCTTAGTCCTGTGGCTCTCCACCTTGACTGGAACCCGAGTGGGTACGCAGGCCCCTCCCCGGCCAGTTAAATCAATCTCGGGGGTTGCCTTTGGGAAGTCTAGGGGGCGGGCCTTCCCTTGTGGCCCGTGTGAGAAATTAGGATCTGTTTCCTTGACCGCTGAGGTAGGTACGTTGGTTCGGATCTGGAATGAACTCCAGAATACACATGTGCAGATCCAGGTGTGTGGTTTTTTCCCCCCACCTGAGTACAAAAAAGGATCTACACATGCCTATCCTTCTCTAGGCGGAGTATATCCGGGTATCCGGAAGGTAGAAGAAACCGGTGGCCATGGTGATTCCCTCTGAGAAATGGTTTGGGCTGCGATGGAGGGTTTCTGTTTGTACACAGTCTATAGGGGTGTTGACCAGTGTCCCTGACCGCTACCCACTAGGTGCCAGTCGTACCCCTTCAGCTGTGACCACCCAAGATGCCTCCAGACATTTCATTGTCAGATGTCCCCCTATCAGTTGAGACCCAGTTGCACTTCCACAGCAGCAACAGAATTATTAAAAATAAAGCACCAAGCATGATGCCTGGAACATGGTAGGCTCAGTAAATGTTTCCTCATTTTCTAAAATTTGCCTCTCCTTTTCTCATCGTAATCACCCTCGAGTACGAGTCTAATAATCGCTGTACTGGGCAGGATAGGGTAGGCTCCGAGACTTCAGGGCTTAATACAACAAAGGTTTATTTCTTAATAATCGTCGATACAGGTTGGGTAACTCCAGGGCAAGCTGTTCTCCACGCAGTGACTCAGCGACTCAGATGACTTCCACTGTGTGGCTCTTACATCTCAGCACACGGCTTCCACGATTGCAGAGGCAGGGGAGGAAAAGTTGGCAAACAGGCACCAGCTGTTACACGCTTCAGTCCTGAAACATGTGACACTTGTTCTCATCCCTTTGACCTGCAATGGGTCACATGAGCCAATCTGACCGCAAGAGAGGCTATGAAATAGGGGAAACCTACGGATATCTGGAGAGTAAAAATCTCTGCTACAATTGCTAACAGCTTTCTCGATGCCAGGTAGTATTCCAAGAACAACTCCATTTATATTAACTAATCCTCATAGCGTCTCTACTTATGGGATAGGAGGTGGTGAGGTTAAGATCCCAGCCCGAGGGTGTGCAGTGGAAGAGCCAAGATTCAGACTGGCTGCCTGCCTTAGCCTCTGTGCTTAACCACTGTGCCTGTGCTTGGTACGAAGCATACTGCACCCCTTTCATGTGTCTCACCTACGTGATTCTTCTCCCTTTACACATCCCAGATCCTGGACTGAATGCTCCTCTGGGCAACTTCATGTCCTGTCAACTCGTCTGGAGAGAAGGATGCCCCCAATATTGCCCCTTACACGCACAGAAACTGCCCATTCCATTTAGTGCCAAAGCTCAGACCTGCTCAACTTCTTGGAGAGAAGGTACAAAACAGCTTACAGTGAGGCAGATCTTGTGTAACGTCTTACACAAATTCCCTGAAGATTGAACCACTTCCACTTTATGGGGGGAAGAAAGCCCCGATGTTCTGAGAGGTGAAGCAGCTTGTCGGAGGCCATACATTGAATCTGCGTGCTTCTAGCCAGGGAGGCCCATTACGTGCCAGGTTCTTTGTGTAAACGTACACGGCCCTGCAGGTCAGGCAGTGCAACCCCACTTCCGTGGATGGGAAAGCTGAGCCCGTGGCTAATATTCCGCCTTTCTCGGCACTCTTGGCCTCTCCTCTGCACAAGAAGAGCCATGGGACCAGAAGTCAATGAAAGCTGTTAGCAGGAAAGGACCTGCTCTGGTGACTCTTCATGCCCCTCATTTTTCACCCTTTTTTCTCTCCTTCAGGGACAAATCTGGTAGATCTTAGAGTGTTTTCCTCCTGTCAGCCAATCTCCCATCACTCGAGTGGCTCTGAAATTACTGAAAAAGCTCCCGCACAGGCAGGCGGGACACATTTTGTTCCCCTGCTCCTCTTCAGGTAGGCAGGTCGTAAGAGCCAGGAGAGGCACATCCTTTATTGAAAGATCTGGGCAGTGATTCAGGGAGAGGAAGCTGCCAGATCGTGTCAACATCTATCTTCTCTGGCTTTTAAAACATTGCGAATGACGCTGACTGGCTCCTGGGTCAAGTGTGAATTCAAGGCCATACACAGCTCACTGTGTTGTGGGGGGGCAGGAAAGGGGGATGACTGATGGGGATCAGTGGGCTTCGAGGGCCTGGGGGCACTCAACTCCTTTTTTTCCTACTTGAAAACAGCCTGCAAAGGGGAGAGTGGCCGCATTCTAGAACAGATGGCAGCAGCTGAAGATAAGATTAGGAGAGAAGCGAGGCTGGTTGTTCCGAGGGAGCATGAGTGGGTTATTAAAGACCGGCCGGTTGAGCTTGCTGGTTTAAAGCTCGATTACCTTCAACTGCCCTTCCTTCCCGTCCCCAGCCAGATGGGAGTTCTCCGTCTTCGGGCCCTACCCCATTTTATTCCTGTTGTACCCGTCTGTGGTTGTGTACACAGCGTAGCAACAGATCCCCGACCCCTCAGGGGGATCGGTGGCCTTACTGCCAGGAATTCAGAGTATTTCTTCGGGTTTTGACCCAATTTCCTGATAAACAGCATGTGACTTGTCTTACTGCCCGCACATTCCTGACAAGGACAGCTGTGCCTTCAGTCCCCAGCTCTCATGAGCGTGTCTCGTAGTGGAGCACTCACTGCACGATGTGACTTCCAGGATTTGGACGCAGTGTCACGGAGCCGTTAGCAGTGGAGCGTGCTGCGGGAGCTGCTTTTGGGAACACCTTTTGAGTGGCAAACCACTCTCGAATGAGTGGCAAAGCCTGGATTGGAACCCCGGCCCACCTGACTTCCCAGCCCGAATTGCTGTCTGATTTACTTCAGTTTGCTCAGGCCGTGGCGTCGCTTCAAACAGTATGTTTCTGAAAGAGAAAGTCAGTGAACCTGTAACCGGCAGGCTGGTTCCAAAACACAGGACCTATTTTTACTCTTTGCTTTTCACTGACTCATCCAGTGGTTCTGAGGCTCTCCCCAGACCGTCTGCTGCCACCCTTGAAGATTCTGCCCAGCTGGGAGGAAGTTCCGTCCCTCTTCCTTCATCCAGGTTGCCAGACAGTTGGCAGCCAGCCCTCAGGCACGGGTCTGCAGCCCTTGCAAACACAAGAGGACAGATGGCGCGAATGCGGAGTAAGGGGGGGCTCTGGCTGGGGTTTGTGGCTATTTGGATTTATCTGTAGTTGAGGCCCTGATGATTTCATCATAGCTCTTCATTCCCTAATTCAGATGCTATGACACACACAGAGGGCAGGGTGCTGGGGGCCAGCTATGAGCATGGGCAGAAACAGCCCCATGCCCCAAAGGTCAGCTCTCTCTTTGGGAGTGGGGACATTGAACAATGACCATACCGTGTGCTAGTGTGCTAGGTGTGGCCGTAGGTTAAGCAAGGGTCACTAGGAGAATGGGGCCTGGCCTGGGCGCAGGACAGGAAGGGGCTCCCAGAAGAAGGGCCCTTTCAGCTGGGACCTGAGATGAGGTGGTGAGGTGGGGATGGGGTTTGGGGGTTACTTGCCGATGGAGAAGGATGGCAACCACTGAGAACTGGAAGTGAGAGCACGGGGTGTAGGAGGAACTGAGAGATGTTCTGCATTCCTGGAGCTTCTGCCTTTTAGAGGTTGGAGGAGCGTGGGTAAAGATCAGTACAGAACAGGCTGGAGGTGGGCAGGGGCGTGGGCCCACTATATACAGCCTTGTGAGTCCATCAAGACGGCACTCCTCAAGTCTGCTTTCCAGGGTCTTTGCTAGACATGACTCCCCCTTTACTGGACTTTATTCACCTGTCTCCATTCGACGCGGAGGCCCGCTCCCTCACGCCACAGGGCCAGGCCTTGCCACGGGCTGTAGTTTCAGAGATGCAAAAGGCATGTTGCCTTGCTGCCCAAGAGTGCCACTCACTTGTGCTGAGCACTTTCTGCCAGGCACCTCATCACCTCGTTTCATTCTCAGTCTCTCAGTTGAGCAGGTTTGCTATCATTCCTTTATAAAGGAGGGATGGAGGCACAGAGACGTGAGGCGACTTGTGCAAGGTCACCTGCTGTAAGCGGCGGAGCCTGGTCAGCCGGTTCCAAGGGCCCACGTCTTCTTGCCTCCCTGGCCAAGGAGTTGGATGTGTCAATACCTAAGTTCGTGCTGGAGTGACCAGCAGAGAGAACGCAGAGTGAAGGCAGCCTGGCAGAAAGGGCAGGGGTATGCTATCGGGCTTCCCGGAGCAAGGAGGCCTTGCCCAAGAGCAGGGTTTATATAGACACTGCCCCGGCCACACGTCTGTCCCAGGATCCCTTTCAGTATCCTATGAGCAGTTAGTAAAGCTCCAACATCTCACAGGCCTCTTGCTCCCATGCCCCCAAATCGTGTTTTGGGGAATTAGGCAAACTACTTAGGGATCCTGTGTGTCTTGCTTAGTGCTGTCCAGTACAACGCCTGGCACTTAGCAGGCGCCGAATGTCCATCTGTGGATGAATAAATGAATGAACCTCACTTTTAGTGTCCTACAGCCTGGATCCTCACTTGCCTGGTGAATGAGGGCGCCTGGGCCTTATCTGTCACTGCTCAGTTCCTCAATCACTGCTCACTGGCCCCGAGCATGCCACCCCCGCCTCTGGCCCAGCAAGCTGCCAGCTAAGTCCTGTGGTCTGAGAGGCCCCTAGCACTTTGGCAATACCTGCTGAAATTAGAAATGCATCCACAATCTGACTCAGCAAGTCCACTGGTAGCAACGCAGGCTGTGGCATGTACACAGGCAGCACTGTGGCCACCATACAGGCAAGGCCTGTGAGCAAGAGTGGGAACCCCCTCTGTGTCCCCACTGGGGAGGGGCACAGGAAAGAAAGACTTTTCTTACAATGCATGGAGGTTTAGCAGTAAGGCAGGGTGGAGTCTACTGGCATCATGTGACCACCAAGCAACTTGGTGGAATCAAACAGCAGGGTCCCCAGCAGAATAGAATAGGTTCCCTTTTGTATCAATACCCACGTGTGCACATCCATCCGTATGTGCTCCATGGAAAAATAAACAAGGTTAGCGCCTTCCTCAGGGGAGGGGTCCTTTTCACTGCAGATGCCTCTGAAATCCTGAGTGATGGTGGTGGGGGTGGTAGCCAGCATCCAGCGGGCAGTTATGCTATCTGGCACTTGTGACCACGTCACACGTTATCTCATTAAAGCTTTACATTATCCCATGACACGGTACAATCTGTTTTTTACAGAAAACTAAGGCACAGAGAGGTGAAATACTTGACCAAAGATGACCTACAAATCGGAGGGAGAGCTGGCCGAGAGCTCAGGCGGCCTGATCGCCACACCGATGCGCTTCCCAAGACGGTGCCCATGTAATTTTTCCTTAAAAAGCAAGTCCCTGAGAAATTTCTGGTCCCCAACATTGCCCCATCCACCGGATCCCGTGACTGTGTTGGGCGGGGACTGGACCTCGGAGGCAAGCCTGTGCTCTCAGGACGGGGAGACCGGGGCTGGGGGGCGGGACCCTTGTCCCCGGCGGGGGCGCAGGCGCCCCAGGACCGCTGCACGTGGCGGCCGAGCGCACAGGCGCTGCCCCGCGGCCCCGGGGGCTGCCCGGCTGACGAAAGGCGGCTCCCAGCCCGGCTCCGGCGCGGCCCCGGGAGAACCTTCCCTCCGGGCCTCGAGGCCAGCTTCCCGGGCGGCTCCTCCCGGTGGGGTGAGCGCGCGCCCCGGGGGCGGGCCCGGGAGGGCGGGGCGCGGCGGGCGGCGCGGAGGGGCCGAGGGACGGCGGGCGGCGGGGCCGAGGGGCCGAGGCCGGACCTTCCGCGTCCCCGGGCGGCGGCGGCGCGGCCGGGTGAGTGTGCGTGGGTCCGGGACGCGCGCCCGAGTGTCTGCGCGCGGGCTCAGCCGGCCCGGCTCCCAGGCGCCGCATCCCGGCCTGGGGTGGGCGCCGCGGGCCGCACCAGGGTGCTGCCGTGCGCCCGGGTCCCCTTCCCCGCGGGTCGTGCGTGGGAGCCGCTCGGGCCGCTGCTGCTGTGAGCCCGTGGCTGGGGGCCGGGGGCCGGGGCCCGGGTGGGGGTGGGGTGATTTCTGGGGTCAAGGAGACGCCGAGGCAGCAGACCCGGGACAAGACTCGAGGGCAGCGCCTGGGACAAGACACCGCTGCCCAAGGCCAGGTGTGGAGGGACCTCCCCGGCCCCAAGGGGCCCGCTTCCGTTCTGGCGCCGTCCGGCCCGGCTCCTTGACCCTGGATAGTTCACTTTCGTTTCTGGGTCTTAATTTCCTCATCTGTAAAGTGGAGTGCTTGGACCCATTGTCTCCAAGGCGTTTTCACCCCGGCACTTCTGGGACAGCCCCCCTTAGGGACCCCTGGTGGGACTTTCCATTTTAACAAAAACAAAACCTGACTTGTGAAAACTGTAAGGTCTTTCTCTCTCTCCCTCTTTACCCCCTGCACAAATCTCAGTGGGGGACCTGGGTTCTGGGGAGACGGGGCCCTCAGCGTCTACTGAAGTGGGGACCCTGGCTCGGCGGAAGGTACGGCTGTCTTCCCTTGCGGGGGCTCGGCGTGGCTTAAGAAGGTGGATAATCGGGAGTTCTGGGTAAATGCAGACTCCGCAGAGGGAACTAGGGACACAGAGTGGATGACTGGTTAGTTTCGGGTGCCTCAGGGCTGTGCTTACTCCACGCCCCCCTCTTCTCGCCTTTATTCACGCCTGTCCTGGCCTCTGCTCTGTCCCTCTCCCTCGTTGGCAGCCCCTTCTCCCACTTCCACCTTTCCCAGGCCTTTCCCCCACCCCAAGGTACTGCTCCCTCCCTCTGACTATCTTGTTGGGTCATTGTCTGTTTCTTCTTTCTCTTTCTCTGTGGTCATCCTTCCCACCAGGTGGTAATCCCCAGCCCAGAGGGCTGAACAGGGATTTAAGATTTTATTTCTGGTTTTATAGTCGAGAAAGCACAGGGCCTGGCACCCAGTGGTTCTTAGGAAATGTCTGTGGGGTAAAAGTGGTGACCCCTGTATTCCTTGGTCATTCCTATTTGCCGAGTGCCGCTCAGAGGAATTTACACGAATGAACTTTTTAAGCCTCGAAACAACCTAAAGCTCCCATTATTATCCCCACTTACATGTGAAGAAACTGAGGCAGAGAGCGGTAACTTGCTCCAGGTCACACAGGTGGGAAGTGGCAAGACTGTGCAGGTAACTTTCAGCCATGACACGAAATAGCCTTCAGGTGGATGAATGAATTCTCCTGATGCAGACGCTGTGGGAGGCTAATTGGGCCAACTGGGGTGCCGGGATTTCTTCTGGAAGACAGTGCCTAATTGTGGGATTTTGCCACCAATGGACTCTTCCATGCAGACTGGGCAGCTCCAGCTTGTGGGTGGTCCCTCCTGCCTGGAGAAGGGAGGATGGGCTCCTGGGTCCCACGGGCCTTTCTGGGGCTCCAGTCTGGCTCCCTGGGCTGCAGGCTCCCAGCTCTGATGTCCCTGCGTTCCTTGTCTGGATGATGGATCTGAGGATTCTGTTTACCTCGTGGGCCTGGCAGGTGCTCAGAGGAGGCAGGAAAGGGCTTAGATGATTGCTGGGGGCCGGGCAGACATCCTTGGGCTATTGTTGTTTTCATGCCCCTTGGGGGTACAAGATAAGAGGAAGGAAGTAAGGTGACACGATTGCCTGGTAAATGCTCAGCAGTATTTGGGAGTGGCCGCACGTGGGCCAGGACCTGGCTAGGTGAGGGGGATTTGGTCCCTGCCCTCCCGGAGCACAGCATCTCAGATGCGGACTGGAATTTCTTGCTGGGTCCCCGCTGGGAGATGCAGTCTTTCCTGACCCACTGTGGTTTTTTTTGAAGGTGGTGTAAGGAACAGGCTCCGAGACAGCCAGACCTGGGACCTGGGCTCAGGGACAGGACTCTGGAGCCAGATGGCCTGGGTTCACCTCCTAGCCACTCCACCTTGGACGGGTCCCCTCACATCTTTGACCCTCAGTTTTTTCTCCTGGGAGGAAAGGGGTCTGTTCGGTGGCCGGGGTACCAGACATCACGCTCCTGTCTCACCGTTATCCCTGCAGCAGCTATGCCAGTCGCCCACCCTGAACCCATTTTACAGATAAGGACAGCAAGGCTCGGGGAGTTAAGTACCTTGACTGCAAATGTCACCCGGCTTGTGAGTGGCCCAGCGAGGATTCAGGTTCAGGTTCTTTGGTGCTAAAGTCCTTGCTCTTTTCATGATTTTTGTTGCTTTCTGGCCTCAGAGCCTGGTGTGGGGTCGGTGTTGGTGAAAGGCCCATTTTTGTATGTTCTTGGTTGGTGGGGGGGTGCTTAAAGTAAGGCTGGCTCCAGGTGCATCCTGTCTGCTCGTGCGCACCGGGCCCCCCACTTAGGACGGCTCCCCGCTTGGTTTAACGCTCTGCTGTCGCCATCTAGAAATTCCTCACCATTTTTGAACAAGGGCCCCCACCTTTTCATTTTGTGCTGGGCCCCACAAATTACGTAGCTGGTCCTTTGTCAAGGACCAAGAGTAACAGAAGGTGGTGAGGGCGTGTGAGTCAGGCTCCCCCCTTTAGGGGACCTGAGGGTAGGTGGTCAGCCCTCAGGCCAGCTCTGAATCAAGCAGATGTGTGCCGACTGCACACTTGCTGTCTTCACCAGCATTCAGAACCATGGCAGCGTAAGATGACTCCAGTAGACTCTTCAACAAGGTGGTTGGCAGGGCTGGTGTGTCACCCAGGGACTTAGGCATGATTTTCCTTGGTGGGGGGTGATTCTGAGGGCCCCAGGGGGACACATAACAGAGGTTAAGTGTGCAGGTTCCAGCTGGAGTGGGTGGCACCAGAGACTCCGTTTCGGCATCGAGACAATACCCATGAAGGGCATTTCTGCTTTTGCTGACCAAAGTGGGTAAGGGACATGCCTGCTGTGCTGTCACTGACCCAGCTCCCAAGACTTTAGAAGCCTTTCTGAGGTCTTTTAGAGGCTACCGCCAGGAAGATGCGTTGCTCCCCTCATCCTCCTTTTTCTTTTCTCCTTATGGATAACAGGAACTGTCTCACGGACAGTATTTCCATTTTTGCTTTGGCCACCTGGAAGCTCAAAACCAAATTCTTGGCTCAGGCACGGCAACTGTGTCAAACCTCAAAACAGCAGCGATAAGGGCTAGTGTTTATGGGATGTGTCCTTTGTTCCAGATGCTGTGGTCTGTCCTTGGCAGGTTTCTTCCCATCGATTCTTTGCAGCAACCCTGTGGGGAAGGTACCATTATTTGAATACAGGGAAGCTGGAGCTCTTTGAGGTTAAACCACTTGCCCACGTTTAGATAACTAGTCGGTCATGGAACTGATGATGCTTAAACGGGTTAGTCTGACCCTGGAGTCCATGTTCTTGAACATAGCCCTCCACCACCTCTGCTAGGGACCTCATTGTCTGAGTATCTGGTTATTTTTATTCTTCATGGGTCATTTTTTTTTTTTGTTAATTTATGTGTCCCACCATCTTGATGGTTTTCATTGCTATTTTGCAATGTCTCGGGGGAAGTTCTTTGAGACCCTTTGTATGACGAAGGCTCCTCATGCTCAATATACGTGTCCTGTGGCTGGTCGCCTGTAAGGGATCGGCAGTCCTGGATGCCCGGGGGTGGGGCCTGGCCAGCTCGTGAGTTCTCCGTGTGTGGGTCCCTGGATGTGTCTGAGCTGGAGAAGGCCCAAGACCAGAAAGGGCGTTCTCAGCCGAGGCCTTGGGGGATCTGAGTTCCTCCTCCTCACTCCCGCTGCCAATGTTGCTCAGCAGGATTGGAAAGACCAAAGTCTCTGGGAAGATGCCAGTGGCTCTCCCTGGCCCTGTGATGACCTCAGCCTTAGACGGCCCAGGGAGCCTGGCGTGCCCGGCCCCCGTCCTGAAGCTCTTTCTCGTGCTGTTTTCCAAAGGCGAGCGAGGCTGAGCCGACTGCTCCAGAATGAGCCACAGCTCTGAGAAGAGGAAGTAGAAACCCAGCTGGCTCTCCGTTATGGCTTGTGAACCGCAGATGGAGCCCGGTGGGGCGGCAGGCCCCGTGCCACCCTCCTCCCCCAGCTGGAGCGCCCTGCCCGGGGGGAGCCCTCCCGGCTGGGGGCAAGGTAAGGTCATAACCCTTCATTTCCTCCCCTCCTTCTCCCCCGAGGATGCTGAGCTGGACTCAGCTAGTATGACTGAGACGAGGGGAGTGGAGGGGCACAGAAGGGCCTTGACGTAAGGGTGGGCATTTTGAGATATGTTTCCAGGCCAGTTTCTGGACTTTCCACTCTTTCTCTCTGTCACCAGCTCCTTAGATCAAGCCACCATCACACTCTGCTTGGATCTCTGGTGTAGCTTCCTAGCTGATCCCCTCGCCTCCTCACCTCTTCCCTCCATTCTCTACGTGGCATCCAGAGAGATCTTTTTAAAATGCACAACCAGCCATGTCACTTTCTGCTTCAGAGTTTCCCACTGGGCTTAGCGTGAAGATCTATCATTCACGGCTTGGAAGGCCTGCCTTATGGGCTCCTGCTGCCCCCGTTCTCAGTTCCTGCCATGCCATCCTGCCTCAGGGCCTTTGCATCTGCTGTTCCTTCTGCTTGTGTTGCTCTTTCTCTGCTTCCTTTCCCCTGCTTAATTTCCATCCTCCCTTCAGAGCGCCGTTCACATAGCCCTTCCATGGGGAATCCTCTCCCGATGGCCCGGCCAAAGTCAGGACCCTCTGATATATTCCTTCTCCTCATAGCACTTGTCACGGTCTAGGATTAACTAAATACCTGTGGAACAAAGGGTTGAGTGTCCGGCTTCCCCACTGGAATGTAAGCTCCATGAGGGCAGCACTCTGTGTTGTCCCGTTCATCCCTGGGTCTACAGTCCCTAGCACAGGCCTTGGCCCAGGGTCGGTGCTCCATAAGTATTTTCTTGAATGAATGAATGAATGAGTGGCTGGTTGTGGGAAGGGGAGACAGCATTCTGAACTGTAGGAGCCACAGAAATGGGGCTGGTTCCTTCCATGGTCTGCAACTTGACGACTTCAAACGAGTTTCTTTTATCATTGCTGTTATTAGGAAAGCAATTTACACACACACACACACACACGCACGCAGGGCAGTAGAATGAAATGGAAGGAAATAATATGCCTTCAGAACTTTGAAGACATTGCTCCAGCAGTTTTTGGCAAGCCAGTTCTTGCTCTTTTATAGGAAATTGCTCTCCCCTACACACAGACACACACACACACAAACACACACACACACACTTCTTTGGTAGCTTTTCAGATCATTCTTCCTGGCCTGGGTGTAAAAACAAGTATTTCTAAGTGGAGGGCTAGCTGTTCTCACTTTAATGAACAGAGAGATCATGGCCAAGACTCCAGGGACTTGTGGTTCGCAAGGCAGACAGAGACGCGGGGAAATGTCTTTGCGTGGCTGGGCAGGTGCCTTCCTCTGTACGTGAGGAGCCAGGCGGGGAGGCGGTGCAGACCCCCGGCCTGGAGTCCAGAGCCCCGTGGGCTTCCCTCCCGGGCTGTGACCGTCAGTCAGAGGCCCGGGGCCTGGCTGCCCGCCCTGGAGCGCTCGCTGCCTGTTCTCCCTGCTTTCACTTCCCCTGGTAACCCCGGCCGAGTTCTTGTTCGCCTTTCAGAGGCTCCGCTTCCCTTTCGGTGATCGTGGTGTCTAGCTTTGCGGGCTCTCCGAGGGTGAATTGAAATCTGGACTGTGGGGCCTGAGCCCCAGGCCATCCATAGAAGTCGAATTTTATAGTTTTGTCTTTTCACATTTTTTTTTTTGTGAAGCCACCGTACATCCTTTCTAGAACCAGGTGGCTGAGGGTAAAAACAAGTCCAGCGACATCACTGTTGCTTTATTGTAACTTTTGAGTTCTGACAAGCTTGCTTTTAAGTATGGCAACACTAGCGGCTGCTTAATCAGACCCATTTCACGCCACGTGCTTTATTTTCATCGTCCTTGTTATTTGTAAGGCCTCCGCGGGGGTGTGACACTCCTCTGAGTGGATGGCTGCGGGTTCACATTCCTTCTTCAGGGTGACCTTAGTGAGAGGCTGAGCTACAGTTTGAACCCCAAGCTGTCTAGCGTGTGTTTTTCCCCGACTTACCACCCTGCCTCCATACCCCTCACCCCTTGCAAGATGTTTTTTTAAAAAAAGGGAAAGCAAAATAAAATTCTTTTTGGCAGGGGGTAGGATTTTTCTGGCACTCTTGAGATCATAGGCCATACCTTGAGGTATAAAAAAAAAGAACCCTATCAGGCTTGGGGACCAGAGTTCTATCATCTTATTTCATTTATACATCAAACATTTATTTAGTGCCTACTGTATGCCAGGCACTGAACTCAGCCAGAGGATTCAGTGATGTGCAAAACCAATGTGGGAGTGTAGAGTCTGACGGGGACAATGGACTTTAATCAAGTAATGGTATACATACAGAATCAAATAATTGCATGGTATGTACTCATCGTTGATGAGCATAAAGGAGAAGAGCAGTAGTTATGCGCAGGGTTAGCAGAAGGATTTGATCTGAGAGTTTAGAGTATCAGGGGAGACTCTGGGACAGTGATTAATGAGCTGGGATACAAATGATGAATAGGATTTAACTGCGTGAAGCTGGGTGGAAGGGGTCGAGGGAGAGGGAACATCATATGCAAAGGCCCTGAGGTAGGAGAGAACACTGCCTGTTCAAGGAACAAAGGAGGCTGGTGTAGCAAGACCCAGAACAAGGCCAGTGGCTCAAGGTGAGTTTGGCGGGAGGCTGGTTCTTCTAAGGGCTGGGGGAGCCTGGTGAGGTGGGTCGGTTTTCCCAGCAGAGCACCGAGAAGCTGTTGGAAGTTTTACCAGAGGCCTGGTATCGCCTGACTTGCACTCCGGCCGCCATGTGGAGAATGGGTTGTATGAGGGAAGAGTAGGTTTGGAGGAGCCAATGAGGAGACTCCTGCGCGGGAGAGGTGAAGCTAACTTACCCCGGGGTGTGGTGAAGATGCCAAGAGCTGCGTGGGTCTCGCCAAGATGCCGAGAGAGGCAATGTGTGTTGGCGCAGTTGGCAGGGCCCAGTGATGGACGGCGTGAGGGGTCGAGGGAGTGGGTGGGCCAGCGATGCCCAGCGAGGTAGGCTCCTCCTTTGGCCTGGAAGCCTCAGGTATTGCCCGACGCTGCGTTCGGAGGTGACCGGAGTCTCGGCCAGCAGGGAACGTGTTTGCGGTCGAGTCCCTTCAGTGCTGCCTCATTTTCTAAGCAAGGGCCACGGAAAATGTGTTACAAGGTCCAGTCCCCAGCCTTGCCCGGCTGGACACGGGGAGCCTAGTCTCAGGCGGGGTCCCGCACAGCCCCTGGCTGCTGACTGGTGGCTCCCAGGGCCTCACCCCATGTGGAGGGAGACCCCCATCCTCCGGTCTGGAGGGTCTTACTCAGAGCCAGTGGCTGGTGGGGCTTCAGCCTCTGCCCTGCCTCCCCGGCCTCGCCTGGCCTCGTGGTTTGGCTTTGTTGCAGCCCTGCAGGGCGAGAGCTGTCATAGCTGTCATGACCAGCCTGGCTGGACGTACTCACTTTGAGATTAAGCTCAATTTATGCTTTTAAAGTGTTCAGGGAGGTGCAGATCCCCCGGGGAGGGCTTGCCCATAAGTCAGTGCCTTCGTTTTCTGTGGTCGCGGTAACAAGTAACCGCCAACACAGGGGCTTACAAAACGCCCTTGTTCCCTTGCAGTGCCGCAGGCTGGACTCCGACACCGGCCGTTTCACCGGGTCAGTGGCTGCCTTCCTGCAGGAGGCTCGGGGAGAATCTTTCCTTTCCTTCTCCAGCTTCTAAAGGCTGCCCGCCTTCCTTGGTCCAGGATCCCCGTCCCTGTCATCAGAGCTGGCTGTGTTCCATTTCTCTGTGTCTTTCTTCTGAAGTCACGTCCTCCTGACCCTTCTGCGGCCCCTTCTTCCACTTTTAAGGGTCCTTAGATTACATTATGCCCACCCAGATAATCCAGAATAACCTCCCTATTTACGGCCAGCTGATTAGGAACCCAGAGTCCCTCTGTAACCTTAATTCTCCTTTGCCACATAAGGTAACATATTCACAGGTCCTGGGGAGTAGGTGGGGACATCTTTGGAACCTCATTGTTCTGCTTTCCACACTTGATCTCTCTCTCTTTTTTTTTGGTGAGGAAGATTTGCCCTGAGCTAACATCCGTTGCCAGTCTTCCTCTACTTTGTATGTGGGATGCCTCCACTGCGTAGCTGATGAGTGGAGTATGTCCTCACCCAGGATCTGAACCCGTGAACCTGGGCCGCCGAAGTGGAGCATGAGGAACTTTAACCACTTGGCCACAGAGGCGGCTCCCAGTGGGTTATCTCTTACTTAGCCTCTGAGCCCACCAGGGATGTCCGAGTTATTTGGTTGAGTTTCCTTTGCAGTGCTCAAATCAATGTCTGCTATGTCATCTCCTCAATGTAGTTAGTTGTTCAGTCTCTGTTTAAATATCCTCCCCTGTGATGGGGACCTCACTACCTCGCGTTCTGTGTGTGGACAGCTCTCATTCTTGGGGAGTTCATCCTCATATAGCCTTGCATTGGGTCCTACTGGCCTCCACGCTCTGGTCCTGGTTCCCTCTCCTGGGGGCTTTTGGGTCCAGTCCAGTCCTTCTCCCATAGGGATTAGCAGACAGCCATTGTCCCTTTTTGCCATGAGAAGGTTCTCACGGCCAGGGGAGGTGACTCCATCAGGCTCTGGGCTCATCCAGGGTCCTATGGCTCGGCCACACGAAGCCTCTGGTCTGCTTCCAGGGCTGCACAATGGCCAGGTCCTCACGGTTCTCCGGATCGACAACACCTGTGCGCCCATCGCCTTCGATCTGGGGGCCGCTGAGGAGCAGCTGCAGACCTGGGGCATCCAGGTGGGTGCGATTTTCCTGGCTCTCTACCATTTCCCTTCTATCCGTCCGTCCACCTGTCTGTCCGTCCATCCATCCTTTCATGCCGTTACTCACAGAATCTTTATGAAACGCTCCGTGCCCAATGTGGTTGGGGATAGAAGGGAGATGTCTTAGAACCAGCTCCTCCCAATGAATTCACATGACAGATGTGTGGTGTGGGTGCCCACCCTGTGCCAGCCAAGAACCTGGGCGGTAGGCACAGTATTCAGTGGTGAAAAGGACCCACTGCCTGTGCTCACCCTGCTCCCAGAGCCCCGTGGGGGCGATGGACATGCGTCAGATAGCTCAGGACAGCGTGACATAAATGCTCCCGTGGAGGAACGTGCAGGACGCCAAGGACACGCACAGGAGAAAACGATAAACCCGCCTGGGGAAGCCGTGGTTGTGAAAGCTTCCCAGATGAGCAGATACTTGATCTGGGATCTAGCAGGAAAAATAGGAGTTGGCTGGGTAAACAGGAGGAAGGGCATTTTAGGAGAGGGAACTGCATATGTGAAGCAAAGGGTACATAAATTCATTAGATAATAATGCAGTGCCTTCAAGCATCGTGACTCGAGGCATAGGCTCCCAAGATCCGTAGATGTGGATGCAGATCCGGCTCTGCGGCTCACTGCCTGTGTGACTTTAAGCAGGTGACTTAACCTCTCTGAGCCGCAGTTTCATCATCTGTAAAATGAGGGCAATATGAATAGAGTTACACAGAGCTTCTGTGGGGATTAAGTGAAATAGTGTTTGAGGAACACTTGCACTGTCTCTGACACCAAGTGAATGTTCAATAAATTGTAGCTATTGGTGTTGTTAAGGTCCCACCTGCCTGGTTCTCTCTTCCCGAAGCCACTAGGCCTCCTCCCATATGCCAGTACAATTGTTAGCTTATTTAATCTGCACACCGCCCCTACAAGGTGGGTGCTCTTATTATCCTCATTTTATAGAGCAGGAAACCAAGGCTCAGAGAAGTGGGGTAACTTGCTCCAGGTCACACAGCACATGAGTGGCAGGGCCAAGGTTTGGACCTGGGATTGGCTGACTCCAGGGCCTGTGCCTTAACCATTAGGCTCTCCTGGGTCTGCTGTGAGGTCCTGAGCCTGGGGCTGTGGGCGTCCCTGTGCGGGATGTCCTCCTGGGTCTTCAGCTGCCCACCTCCCCAGTGATACTGGGCCTTCCCTGAGCCAGCAGCTACACCCTGGGATTGCCACCCAGCGCTCCGAGCCCCTCAGTCGGCCTCCTGGTTCAGCCCAGAACGAGCCTGCTCTTCCTCCTACACGATAGTCACATGACCTGGAAGTGACTTGCCGCTGGCGGGAGGGAGCTGGGGAGTGGTTCTCCTGGCTGATCATTGCTTTGCTTTGGGCACCGAGCAGGTCCCCGCCGACCAGTACCGGAGCCTGGCCGAGAGCGCCCTCCTGGAGCCCCAAGTCAGAAGATACATCATCTACAACTCGCGGCCCATGCGGCTGGCCTTTGCTGTGGTAAGGAGGGTGGCGGCCCGCATTCGGACCCTGCCGTGGCCCCGTGGCCCTGCTGACATCGGCGTGGCCTCCTGTCCTGGAGGGGTGGGTATGGGATGTGGGGGCTGGTGACCCAGCTGCCTGGGAGAGAGCAGTCCACAGGGGCCCGGATTTGTGGGGAGGGGAAACTTACAGGAGAGAGTTGTCACCAGGCCCCCGGGGAACGGAGGGGAGGCAGGGTTTCCCAAGGGCGGAGCTGGGGGCTGGGGATCCGCTGACCCACCTCTGAGGCTCTGGACTCCGTGTCTGGCTGGGTCAAGACTTTCCTCCCCTCTGGGACTTGGTTTCCTCTCCTGTTCACTAGATAGGTCCGTTTCAGCTCTAATCCTATATACCTGTGTAGACACACACACACATACCTATAAACATATACACCTGCGCACACACACACCTATGGCGGAGCCAGAACGGGAACCCGGGCAGACTGGATTCAGCATCTTTCTTCACCGTGTTGACTTGCTTCCTCTCTGTGCATAAATGGGCCAATAGCACTCAGACTCCCACCTCCCGCTCCTAGGGAAGGAAAAGGGATGGCCATCAACATTTATTAATTCCCTGATAAGTGCTGTGCTGTCACGTATGTTATCTTCCTAACCCTGATGCAACCCTGCAGACTAGGTATTACCCCATTTTATAGATGAGGACATTAAGGCTCAGAGAGCTGTGACACCTCGTCCAAGCCCACACAGCAGCTGAAGGACCAGCGTGGGCTTCTGACTCTGCTTTATCTTACTCCCAAGCCCCCTGCCCTTTTCTGTTTTATTTAAAATCCGGGCGAGCACGGATCCGGGGCAGCTATTCTCAGGCCTGTCCTGTGCATGAGGACCAAGGGCTCCGCGCGCAGACCCCCATCCGTCCCTTTTGGCCCTGTGAATGCAGCTGCCTCGTCAGGACAGGTGTTCTGAGCGCGCTCCGTCTCTGGCCCCTGCAGGTGTTCTATGTGGTGGTGTGGGCAAACATCTACTCCACCAGCCAGCTCTTCGCCCTGGGGAACCACTGGGTGGCCGTGCTGCTCGTGACCCTGGCCGCGGTCAGCCTGACCCTGGCTCTCGTGCTCATCTTCGAGAGACACCAGAGGAAGGTGAGAGGTCGCGGGACCCCGGCCACGCTCCCTCTGGAATCGGGGTGGGAGGTGGATCCACGGCAGGGCGTTCTCTTTTCCCTGCGTCGAAGAATTTCTCCCACCGTGGAAATTCACTGCCCAGGTGCTCAGGGACTGCAAGAAATCAAATCACATGTGGGATTAAATCCTCTGCTTTTCCTGTCTCATCCCTGTGGGTTGTGTTTCTAGAAGCAAGCTGTGTCGCAAGGGCGTCTGGGAGGCGCAGGAGGGCGCTTTGAGTTCACGGAGCCCTTTCATGCACCTCCTGTCTCCCCGGATGCTCGCGACGCCCTGTGAGTGAGGAAGGGGGTCCGGAGCCCACCTCGCAGCCCGAGGTGCCTGAGGTTGAGCCCCCGGCAGAGGCAGAGGCGGGCGGATGCTCACCTCGTGCTCTGTTGATGCTTGTGCCTTGTTTAACCCCAGCAGTGACCTTTGAGGCAGAGCGGGGCTGGTCCGAGAGTTTAGATCCCCCTGTGAGTGGCAGAGCGGGGTTTCCAAGCCCGAGCCCTCTGCCTCCCAATCTTATCACCAAGGAGATTGGTCCCTCCGGCTTAATGTGTGGTTCACAATCGTGTTCTGCTTCTTCAGTGTCTTTTGTTACTTACTGAGCACTTCGCATGTGCTGGTTCGGCTGTTAAGGGCTTCGCACAGGTTAACTCCTGAAACCCCCCAGGAGGTCTCTGGGTGGAGTCTTTGCCACTCATTTTACAGATGGGGAACTGAGGCTCCAAGGAGGCTGGAGGAGTGGGCCAAGGTCATGCTCCCAGTAAATGGCGGAGCTGGAATTCAGGGCCGGGATGCTCTGATTCCAAGCCGTGTTCTCAGTCCGGACCCTACTGTGTTGGCCTTCTATGGCTGCTGGAACGGCTTCCTGTAAATGGAGTGGCTTAAAACACCACCAGTTTATCATCGCAGTGTTCTGTAGTTTAGAAGTTTGACGTGGAGGGGCTGCATCCTCTCTGCAGCTTCTAGGGCAGAATCTGTTTTCTTGCCTTTTCCAGCTCTTGGAGGCCACCTGCATTCCTTGGCTCGTGGCTCCTTCCTCCATCTTCAAAGCCAGCAATGGAGGGTCAAGTCCTTCTCACATCTTTGACTGTGAACCTTTTGCCTCCCTCTTCCACTTTTTTTTTTGGTGAGGAAGATTGGCCCTGAGCTAACGTCTGTTGCCAATCTTCCTCTTTGTGCTTGAGGAAGGTTGTCGCTGCGTTAACGTCTGTGCCAATCTTCCTCTATTTTGTATGTGTATGTTGGCCACAGCATAGCTTGATGAGTGGTGTGTAGGGCCACACCTGAGATCTGAACCTCCGAACCCCGAGCCACCAAAGTGGAGCATGTGAACTTAACCACTACGCCACTGGGCTGGCCCCCCTCTTCCACTTTTAAGGCCTCTTGTGCTTCCATGGGGCTGCCTGGGTAATCTGGGGCCATCTCCCTATTTTAAGATCAGCTAATTAGCAACCTTAACTCCATCTACGTCCTGGATTCCCCTTTGCCATGTAACGTAACATACTTGCAGGTTCTGGGGAGTAGGACTCAGCATCTTTAGGGGGTCGCTATTCTGCCTACGGCACCTCCGCTGTCTTTCCAGCTGCTTAGGAGGCTCCACCAGCAGCTGGCACAGAGCTGGACCCTGAGACCTGCAAACACTCCGCCCTTGCCTGACTCTGGGGGAGAGGGTGGCATGTCGGGCCGTGTGGTCCGGGTTTGGGGTGTGAATTCCGTTTGCTGTCTGTGCTCACGGAGACAAACGGGAACCTTATGGCTTAATCGTTCTGAAAAGATCTTTGTTGGGCTTTGCAACGAGGCTGCCAAAATAACGCTGCCCTTGGGCTCTGTTGGAGCTTTCACGGCCCTTATGCTTGGCCTATAAAAAATAAATTGATCTGGCCGCTCCTGCAGCCAGAAACTTCTCTTGGGGAGGGGAAAGAGCAAAGTGTTGTGTGTTAGCAGGAGCAGGCAGCTGTCTGGCTCCTGGCAGGTGCTTCAAGGATGCCGTTGAGGGTGCCTCCTGGGCTCTGCTTCCTTCTCTCCCTCCTGTCTTTGTTCACCTGGTATTTATGAAGCCCAGCAAGTGCCAGGCAGTGTCCTAGAGAAGGACACAGAGAGGAACAAGACCCCGTGTCTTTCCAGGTACAGCACGGAGGCCCCAGGTACAGAGAGGCGCTCCTGTCATCGCTGTTTGCTCGTTCTGGGAGCCCCTCCAGGGTCCTTTCCTTCCTAGTAATGACCATCATTTAATGAGCACCTATTCTGTGCTCTCTGTTTGGGGCCTGAATCCTATGCCCAACAACAACCTGACAAGGAGGCAGGATACCTCTGCCGTTGGCCAGCTCTGCAAGCTGGGTAATTTATCACTTAACCTCTCAGGGCCTTAGTTTGCTCATCTGTCAGTTGGGATCGTAATTGTAGCTCTCTCATAGGGTCATTGGGAGAATTAAATGACTTATTGCACGCAATATGATACTACTTGGTATAAAGTAAATGCTCACTAAGTATTAACTGTTAGGATTATTCACTTTCTTTTCCAGTGGGGGAAACCGAAGCTCAGAGAAGTTAACTCTAGTCTGTGGTCACACAGCCCCCCTCAGGTCTTCCTTTGGGCCTTAGCTCTTGTTCCTTCTTGGATCCCTTGTCACTCAGGACCATGCAGATCCCCCCCAACCGTTGTCACTCTTACTGTTAGTGTCCTACCTGCATCACGTGACATCTTTGAGAGCCTCAGCATTTTGCACACACTGCCTTGGTTTCCCCTTGTTTGGGGCCTTATTAGCCTTTCTCAGGATTGGAAGGCTTGTGAAGGCAGGCGAGACCCTGCCTTGTGTCCCCTGCAGAGTGGAGCACATTGCTGCAGCAGGTGGGAAGTTCCTAAAGATAGTTGCGGCCAACATGGTGCAGTGGAAGGCATGATGATTTCAGTTCAATATCGTCGTCATCATGATACCGTTAGCTGACATGCATTGAGTGTTCATTCTGCCACGTGTTCTCCGTGGGTTAACTCATTTCATCCTTATTCTAACCCTGAATATAAGGGGGTGATATTATCTCCAGGGTGGAGACGAGACGGAGCCAGAGGTGGTGAGTAATTTGCCCGAGGTCACGCAGGTGGTGAGAGCCGGAGTCAGGGTTGGGGCCTTGGTGACACAGGTTTCTGAAAGGGTGAACGGCCCCTACTAATGTTCTAGGAAAAACAAAACAGAATCTCGCCTCGATTCGCACAGTAGTGGCATTCCTGGAAAATTCAGTATATTTAAATCTCTTTAAAAAAACCTCACTTTAGGTTTCTATGTAAAATGGAGTTAGTTGGCCGGTCGGAGAATTATCAGCAGATTTTCGCTGCATTCATGCCCGGTGGGGCCTTTGGGGTGCGGGAAGGCCACGAGGCAGGTCTTCTGCTTGCGGGATTCTCTCCCGTGGGGCACGACCTTCAGTGGAAGGCACGCATTTAGCATCCCTAGTCCTCGTCCCTAAGTGCCGGCCTTGCCCATCCCATCCCTGTGATGAACAAAAGGACCTCACATTTCCAGAATTTCCCTCCTGGGGTCCTGCCCCTTTTGGGGACCATGGTGTTTGACTGGGCTGCCTTCTAATTGCATCTCAGAGAGGCCTTCTCCCAAACCAAGGGTCTTCATACCCTTCTTCTTCCCAGCCTGCTTCGCTTCTGCTTTGTCAACTAAATACTTGACGTCGTTGTTTTGGGTGGGGAAAGAAGGAGATGGATTCCCAGAGCCTCCTCTGAGGACCAGCGCTGTCCTAGGTACTTCCGAGAGCAGGTGCCGTGTAGACAGAGCGGGTGTTTACTTACATGACCAACGTTCAGACCGTCTAACCCCCTCCCAACCCTCCTCCCCCCACACACGTCTGTTGCCCCCGACTGTGTCCCAGGCGCTGGGTTCCTACACACAATCTCAGTGAAATCTCACCACATCCTAAGAGGCAGGGACACTCTCTGTCCTTATTCTACAGCTGAAGAAAGCGAGGCTCAGAGAAGGCATGTAATCTGTCCAGGGCCACACAGCCAGGAAGTAGCAGAGCCGGGCTCCAGCTGAATTTATTGTCCCAACAACCCCATGATCTCGTCTTATCGGGGAGGCATTGTGTGTGTCTAGAAGATGAGGGGTGTCCCATGGCGTCCAGGGATGGGACAGTGCAGGGTAATTACTGGGGCCCAGAGCTCCCTGGTGGCATGGAGGTCTGGCCATGGGTGGGCGTCTGTCTTACAGGCCAACACCAACACGGACCTGAGGCTGGCGGCCGCCAACGGAGCACTCCTGAGGCACCGGCTGCTGCTGGGGGTGACGGACACGGTGGAAGGCTGCCAGAGCGTGATCCAGGTACTTGTCTCGGGGTGACTTCTCCTTGAGGGCCCGCTGGGCTGGGCTGGTGGCGAGAGGTGGCCCGTGTCCTCCTGTCTGCACAGGGTCTTCCGGGATGGCCTCGGCAGCCCTTCCCTCCCTCCCAGCCCCAGCGTTTCTTCCTGGAGACTTGGCTCTGGGCCTTAACCAGCTGCCTGGAGCCTCCACAGGCCGGGGCTGGAAGGGAAGCTCAGAGACCATCCTCGCCGCACTCCTCATTCCGCGTTTATTCAGCAGACAGATGGGGCCTCCTCTGTGCGGAGCCCCCAGTGGCCCCAGGGCTCAGGCCAGGTCCCTGGAGAGGCAGGTCGCACTCGAAGGCCTTGTCCTCCTGGCTCAGATGTTTGCTTTGCCCCAAGGGCAGTGGGTAGACCTTAAGTGACTAGGACAAGGTCACACAGGAGGTCTGGGACATGGGCGGGGTGAGTGAGGCCCGGGGCTGCTGATCTGGCTGAGCTCTGCCAGGCAGGAATAGCTAAATCTCAGCATCACATCTGCTTTCTCACCTCCGCCTATTGCTACCCCTCGCCCTGTGGGAGCCCGGGGTGGGCGTGCGGGCGGGCCCCGGAAGAAGCTCCTTGTGCGCGCGACCTGTTCATCCTCAGATGTGTGCCAGGCGCTGTTCTAGGCGCTGAGGCTGCAGCAGAGCGCAGACCTGCACGGATCCCTGTGTGGATGGAGCCCAGCACACCTGAGACGGTCTAGGGTGTCAGGGGATCCTACCCAGCCCCGGGGGTGAGCTCGATGGCATCACAAGATTTCTGGCAGTTCAGGTGTGACATCTTAGACTGGAAGCCCCTTGAATCTGGGGGTCCTTTCAGCCTCGTGTTTCTCTAAATCCTCTTTATCATTTGGCACAGAGGGCTGATTCGGCAAGTGTTAGTTGAAGGCGTCAATGGATGGATGACAAATGAATGGCCACATCTTTTAAAATAATTAGGTTCTTTCAGTTTCAAAGTAGTCTCTTGGGATGAAGTGATACAATATCTTGGATTTTCTTTAAAATCACCAGCAATGGGGTGGGGGTGGAGGTGTCAAGGGTGAGTGGTGGTCAGGGGTAGAGATGAAACAAGAGTAGCCGTGGAGTGATAACCATTGAACCAAGATGGTGGGGAGGGGGAGGTTGATGACGTCATTTGCTCTCCTTTGTGTATGTTTGGCAAATTTCATAATAAAAAGTAAAAAAAAAATTCATCTAAAAAATATATCCTTGGGGATGAGACAGCGGGAGAGACTAGTTGGCAGAAAGATGTGCGCCTGGGTCTCGGGGGTCCGTCCCTGGGAGGAGGGAGCTCTGGGATCCAGAGGAAGGGGCTGGTGGGTGGAGGTGGGAGATGGGCCCGCAGATTCTTACAGAGCTCGGGTTGTGATGTGCGGCAGTGTGGACCCCACAAGATGTTGTAATGCGTGAACGTGGAGATGTCGGCCTGGCTGAGTGTGACCTGGCTTTCTGGGGGCTGTGAGGTTGAGGAGGAAGGGGAGGTAAGGGTGAGGTGATGGTTTCTCACCCCGCTCCCTGCCCCCCATGGCGCCCACGTGGATTCTCTCTGACCTGAGCAGTGGGGGGACGGCTCTGAAGGGTTTCACTCGTTTGCATGTTGGGCTCTGGGCAGAAGGGCACCTCCCCCCCTGAGAATGGAGGTGGTGGCTCCAGGTGGCTGCGAGCCATCCGGGACGATTGGGGTCTGTCTGGGAGGCTCCGTGACCCGTGGGAGATGGGGCCGCAGCCATTTTGAATAGAGTTTGACATTTTCTGAATTTGCACACAAAGCCATTTTTCTACCAGTGTACAAAGGAAGCTTCACGGATGGGGACTCTGAGAGAGAGCAGAATGTTACGCCCCCACCAGGGACCAGGCTAAGCCCAGTCGGCCTGAGCAGGGCTGGCCTCCAAGCGGAGGCAGGAGCTGGAGGTTCGAGGTCGGGCTGGCTTTGAGCCTCAGCGATCGTGGGGTCCTCTCTCCCCAGCTCTGGTTTGTCTACTTCGACCTGGAGAACTGTGTGCAGTTCTTGGCTGACCATGTTCAAGAAATGAAGACTAACCAAGAGGTAAGTCACCTTACGTGAAACAGCAGACAAGAAAATAAACCAGGAGGCCACAGTATATAGATTGCATTACCTCAGTGTTGGAGAAATGTCTAAGGGAAAGTTCCTTGAAAGGAAGAATTACCTATGTGGAGTCAGCACTTGTTTTTGCCTAGGGAATTTTGACTTTTTAATCTCATTTTAACAAATCCTCTCCTTTTTTTTTTTTTTTTTTTTTGCTGAGGAAGATTGAGCTAATATCTGTTGCCAATCTTCCTATTTTTGCTTGAGGAAGATTTGCCCTGAGCTAACATCTGTGCCAGTCTTCCTCTATTTTGTATGTGGGTCCACCACAGTGTGGCCGATGATGAGTGGTGTAGGTCTGTGCCTGGGATCTGAACCCAGGCTGCTAAAGCGGAGCGTGCCTAACTTAACCACTAGGCCACAGGGCTGGCCCAAATCTCCTTCTTTTTAGCTAATCACATTTTCCACATTTCCTACAGTGAGTATGTATTTATAATATAATAATATGATGATAATAAAGATCCTGTGGAGGAAAGTACCATGTAGTTTCACTTGTTCAAAATGCCTTCCTACCATTTATAAAGAAGAACAGGGAGCTTTTGCTCTCATTCTCCAGATGAGAAAACCGAGGCTCTGGAACTCCAGTCACCAGCTGCCCCTGGTCACACAGCCAATGGGTGATGCCGGTTTGGAGCCTAGCCCGCCTGTCCCTGAGCCTGGGCCTCCTTCCCGGGGGTCAGCCTTTTCCTGGGCCCCACAAGAGCTGGAGTCGGTCTTGAAGTCAGGGGCCTGGTTTTGCCCTGACCCCGCCCGGTCGTTCCCATGTGGCTTTGGGCAAGGCCTCTGGGCGTCAGTTTCTCACCTGCAAGATATGGAGAAAGAGACCACATCCCAGGGTGCTTTGAAGAGCAAATGAGAGCCAGAAGGGAAGAGTGCCCCAGAGGCAATAAAGAGCGTCCTTGTGTAGGGAGTGACCTGATGGCTCCAGCGTGGCTTGGGTCCAGATCCACGTGAGGTCAGCATCTGGGTCTGTAGGTGGAGCCATCTGTGCTCTGTGGGTCTGCAGCTCGGGGAGCGACTTGCCTCCCACCTCCCACCCAACTTGGGTCACCGCCCGAGCCCCCCTCTTTCCTTTGCAGTCCTTGCTGAGACGCAGACTGAGCCAGCTGTGCGTTGTCATGGAGACCGGGGTGAGCCCCGCCGCGGCTGAGGAGCCGGAGGACCCGATGGAGGAAGCTCCTCTCCTGCCCAGCAGGCCTGAACCCCAGGAGAGGCCGCTCATGCAGACCGAGCTCCACCAGCTTGTTCCCGAGGCTGAGCCGGAGGTAACGGGTGCCAGCCCCTCCCCCACGGGGTGCTGGCAGTGTGTGTGCAGGTCTCAGGTTCTGGATGCCGGGGGACATGGCTTTCCTGAGTTGGTAGGGACCACGCACATCTTTTAGCTGACTAGTTTTCTATATTTTTTCCCCTCACCCCAACACTTTAAAAAATAGCTTATAGGAGGGGCCAGACCGCTGGCATAGCGGTTAAGTTCACCAGCTCCGCTTCAGTGGCCCAGGGCTCACGGGTTTGGATCCTGGACACGGACCTACATCTTGCTCATCAAGCCATGCTGGGGCGACGTCCCACATACAAAATAGAGGAAGATCGCTTAGGGCCAGTCTTCCTCAGCAAAAAAAGGGAAGATTGGCAACAGGTGTCAGCTTGGGGCCAGACTTCCTCACACACACATGCACAAAATAGCTTATAGGAATCAGTTTTTTCACCCATTTAAAAAATATCTTGGATAGTCTTTTTGGTTATTTTGTTGGATGTTAGTTACATGTCTGTGGGTCATAGGCTGCCGAACTGTGAACATGTTGATGAGTATTTGGGCCATTTTTTAATCCGTTCATCAGTCAGTCGTCTCTCCATCCATCTACTTAAATTGCAGTGGGATATTTGAATCTTATATGCATCTCTGTTGAAGTCCAGTTCCTCCAGCCTCAGGGTTCTGTTGGGTCCTGCCACCCGAGCTGTCCAGGATGACCGCGTGCTGGTAGACCAGGAATCTGCTAATGCAGTTCACAGCTGTGCTACCCTCTGCTCCCCGTGGTGGGGGCAGACCCGGTGTCTGGGACACAGGCCCCCAGGGGTGGCCTCAGTCATGGGGTGATGCCAGAGAGCACTGGCATTTTCTTTTCAGTCAACAAATTTGAAGATTAAAGGTCCAAAGGGGGCCTGCATATAATAGGACTATTTCAAGAGAAAATGATAAATGTCTTAATCTCTTCACTTGAATCCCATTGACTTTTTTTTTTAAAGAACAGAAAAAAGATTGATAAGGTCACGTACCTTATTGCAGCACGCGTGTGTGGGTTTGTGTGAAATAGCCTATTAAATACGATGGGTCTTTTAAATTATTTTTTCAAATTCATTCACATCAATGGTAATACAATTTCCCGTCATGAATATCAAGTCTTAGTACGTGTGCACAGGTTTTTAAAGTAGCTGCCCTCATAACTTATAGGGAAGATATAATCAGAGCCCAGGTCTCAGCGTGGGCTGGACCGTCATATTTCAGTGGGAACCCGGTGTCCGTGAAAGGTGCAGAAATGGTTGTAATGATCTCTTATGTTTTTACAGATTTTTATTACACATAAAATCCTTTAGCAGACCCTCTGAGGTATGGAGTATTTCCCCGTCTTCCTTGACGGGTGAAATAAGCTTCCGAGAGGTCAGCTGACTTGCTCAAGGTCCCAGAGCAGCGGAGAACGTGACAAAGCCAAGGGCAGCGGCCAGCTCTGCGGCTTCTCAATAGGCCAGGCTGTCGGCCACCGTTCTTTCTTCTTATGTTATTGATTTTGGCGTAGATGGGCGAGAAGACCAATCTGAGCTCGTGAGCGGTAGGCTCTTTGAAGTTTTCAGTATTTTCTAGGACAAAGGCTGGCTCACGGGAAACACTGATCCTGCAGAACTAGGTGGCATTTCTGCTTTTTTGAATAATGATAGTAGGAACGACATTGACATTATCGAGCGCTAGGTTCTGCCTGGGCTTTCCATCCATGAGTTCCTTTAATCCTCACTCCAGCTCATGCAGATCGATGCTATGATTTCCGCTCTTTTACTGATGAAGAAATGGGCTCAGCAAGGGGAACAGACTTGCTCAGATTCTGTCACAGGGTGGCTGAGCTGAAATTCCCCGTTGGCTTGTTTTTTTTTTTTTTTAGATTGGCACCTGAGCTAACATCTGTTGCCAATCTTCTTTTTTTTTTTTCTCTTTTTCCCCAAAGCGCCCCAGTCTGTCGTTGTATATTCTAGTTGTGAGTCTTTACAGTTGTGGCATGTGGGACGCCGCCTCAGCATGGCCTGATGAGCGGGACCATGTCTGCGCCCAGGATTCAAACCAGTGAAATCCTGGGCCGCCGAAGCGGAGCACGCCATCTTAACCACTTGGCCGCTGGCCGGCCCCCTCCCTCGGCCTTTTTGATTTGAAAGCCTGTTCTTCGTCACTAACTCTACTGACATGCACATCCTTGATGTAGCCCCCTTACTTTAGTCCCTTCCCACTGGACACAAGTCTTACGGAAGACCTTCAGTGCCACGCATGAGGAATTGAAACGTTCTCCCTGAAATTCTGACTGCCAGACCAGGGAACAGACCTTTCGAGACCAAATGTGTTAATAAGTTTTTGCTCTTAATGCCATTGAGTTGATTCCGACTCCTAGCGACCCTGTGGACAGCAGAGCGGAGCCCGGCGCGGTCTTTTGGCGCCATCCTCTCGCCTTCCGGCACTGTGTCGGACCATGCTCCACTGCTGTTCACAGGATTTGCGTGGCCAAATTTTTTTGGAAGTGAGTGGCCAGGTCCTTCTTCCTATTCTGTCTTAGTCTGGAAGTTCCACTGAAACCTGTCCACCTTGGGGACCCTGCTGGTATTTGAAATCCCAGTGGCATAGCTTTCAGCATCACAGCTACACGCAGCCTCCACGGTATGACAACCAGATGGAGGGTGTGGTTCCCTGATGGGGAAACGACCCTGGGCCACAGCGACGGGAGTGCCGGATCTTAACCACTAGACCGCCAGGCCTGGCCTGGGTTACTAAGAGCATGCATTAGATCCAATTTTTAAATTCTGTTTTTTACTTTTTTTCGTTGCAGTAAAACATGCAAATATAAAATTTACCACCTCAACCATTTTTAAGTGTCCAATTCAGTGGCATTAAGTACTTTCACATTGTTGTATACCCATCACGGCCATCCATTTCCAGAAGTTTCCATCTTCCCAAGCTGAACCTCCATACCCATTAAACACAAGCTCCCCGTTCCCGCTTCCCCAGCCCCTGGTGACCTCCCTTCTACTTTCGGTCTCTATGAATTCACTGCTCTAGGCGCCTTGTATAAGTGGACTCACACAGGATTTGTCGTTTTGTGACAAATCCAGTTTTTACAAGCAAACTCTTAATACAGTGGGAGTATTTGTCTAGGGAAACCCAGCAGGCACCGTGTCTGAACTGAAGAATCCTGCCGTCGTGGGGTGCTTCCCCCGGCCCCGTTTGTTAAGGATCATCTTCAGGTGCATTGTTACCTTGAGCTGACGCATTATAGACTCATAGACATTTGAAATGTGAAGAAGTCTGTGTCTGTGTGTGATTGGCTGGGAGAAATCAGTAGTAATTTCTCAAGTGCTCTGAGGCTCCATAGCTTTTTTGTGCCTATATTATTGCCTATCAGCAGTTAGGTTACCCGCCTCGGAGATGAGGAAACTGAGGCAGCAGGAGCCCCACAGAGGGAGTTGGGAAGCAGGGCTTCCAGACCAGGCCAGGCATCTTCCAACGGCCCCAGGCGAAGTTCTGGGTGGGTTCTTCCCAGTGAGCATCGCGGCTGGTCCAGGGGGCATGAGGACCACTCGGCTCTGCCCTCGTGCCTTAGATGCTGCTCTGTGGTCCTCACTCTCCTCCCTGCCTCTTGCAGGAGATGGCCCAGCAGCTGCTGGCGGTGTTCGGCGGCTACTACATCCGGCTCCTGGTGACATCCCAGCTCCCCGAGGTAGGGGGCACACGTCATATGGACTCCCCGAGGGTTCCGTGCCCCTGCCAGTTCATAGAGGCCCACATCCTGGGCACAGGGTGCTGCCCGTTCCTGGCCAGGTGACCTGAGGACAAAGGGACTCATCTTCCTCTGAGACTGAAGGGGGGAAGTCAGCGAGGCCTCGGGAGCTGATCCTCGGGGAGGAGAGAAGCGTCTGGGGGCCCTCCGAAGGCTGTCAGTAACGTCAGCAATGGGGGTGTCTCGTCACTCTGCGACTCTTGACAGAAGTGGCTTGTCGACAAACCACGTGGAGCCCTGGCCTTTCCGGAAGCTGAGGGTTGCCGGGCTGGTCCCGCGCCAAGTCACTCTATGCTGCTGGGAACCACGGGCATGAATGGAAGGCTTCTCCCCCATCCCTTCCGTTGTCTGGACACCCAGGAAATGTGAAGATGACCTGACGGGGCCACACACGTGTCCGAGGCTCGGCCTCAGAGACGCTCCCATCTCCAGCCCCTTCGTGTCAGATGGGGAAGGGAGGCTTCGGGAGGACACTGCTCCTGGTGGCATTGCCTCGGGCCCCTAAAATGATAAGACTGCCTCTTCCCAATCGGAAGCAAAGAAGTCAAGTGGCAGAATGTTCTCCATTTTTAAGTTTTTCTTCTTCTGTATTCTGTGAAAAACAGTGGCACCTGTGTTTACTGTCTGCGGGCACACAGTCTTCCAGGGACGGAGGAAAGAAACCAATAGCACGCAGCTGTCAATGGGAACATTTGGACAGGAGCGAGGCTGGCTGACTGGAGGACGTATTTGGTTCAAAGGCAGGCTGCTGGTGGTTGTGGTTTTACACTGCAGGTGGAGAGCAACGGCCCTGTGTTCTGACACTAACACGCTCCTGGAAGGAAGCATAATCTGTCACTCGCCGAGCTCCATGGGGAGCTCAGGCTTCCAGGTTCTCTGTTTCGGAACAAGTTCGAAGATCCCTCATTCCATAGGCCCCAATTTCACAGCCCTGGCCTGGCATGTAAGGGTTCCCTAGCCCCTAAGACCCAGCCTTCGTCTGCAATTTTGGCTGCATCTCCCACAAAACTCCCTCATGAGGTCAAACTTTTTCCTGGACTGACATGTCTATTCTTTTCCATCTGTTGAACTCCTATGCATGCTTCAAAGCCCAGTGTTACTTACCCCTCTTTCAGGAAGCCTTCAATACAGCCAGCCCTGCTCCTCTCTGCCTCCTGTAAATTCTTGATGTAGCCGCTGCCTTTACTGACGTTTTAAGTTATTGATTCTATTTTCCTGTGCACATGCCTGTTTTTCTAGCTAGACTATAAACTCCTCAAAGACAAAGATTGCTCCTTGTCCTCTTTGTGCATGATCTGGACCTGCTACAGGAAAAAAAATCCTGTGGATTGAGTGCTTTGTCATCTCCGTAGTAGCTTTTGCCAATTGCTGTCTCTATTCAGTTGAATGATGAGGTTGGCACAGACCTGGCTTCTGGTCCTTAGCCACCCCTTCTAACTGTGTGACTTTCGGCTGGTCCTCAGTTCACCCATCTGTATAATGGGTAGATTGGAAGATTCTTAATGGCTCTTCCAAGCCAAAGTTCTGGGAATGTCCAGCTTTTTCTGCTCCATCTAGCCCTTGGCCTGTTTATCTATTGTCTTCTGCCTTTATCTACGTGTAGAAAGGTCCTGCAGCCCCACACGGCCAAGGTGTCCCAGACCTCCTGCTCCTTTGGACGGAACACTGGCCTAGCTAGCAGGAGACCTGGATTCTCATCCCAGATCTGCTGCTTCCTAGCTGTGTGACCTTGGCTAGGTCACTTAACCTCTCTGAGTGTCAATTCACTCCTTTATAAGTGGATCTGGTGAACATGAAATGTACTCATGCCGGTGACTTGCCCTGTTAAGAGATTAATCTGTTTGCTTTCTCTGGGCTGGAGAAGAGAAATCAAGTGTGTAGACCAGCCCTTTGCAAGTGGCTGTTCTAGGCATTTCTCTGAGGGCAGCTTTGCTGAATGAGAATTATTCATGAAGGCGATCACTGTCTCTCTCACCTGCCTCAGAGGAAATAGGAGCTGTGAATGCAATCAGTAAAGGCCCATATTTATTCTCTAACCGTGAAACCCCGGTAAGTGTAATACCAGAATAAAAATGTGTGCGTTAAATGGCAAAACAGCCATTTTTCCATTTTAAGGCTTCCTTAAAGAGCCCTTGGTGTGTTCTTTGCTGCCTTTCCCTCTCTTTAGAGTTTCCGATGGTCTCACCTGGTGGCTGGGCATTCAGGGGTGCCCATGACACACATTTTTTTTTGCACTTGTGCCTCAGTTTCCTCGTTGAGAAGACTCTGTGACCTCTGTCTTGCCTGCATCTCAGAGTCGCTGTGAAGATCAGAGTCCACAAAGGAGGAGGTGCTGTAAGATTGAATGCTCTGCGTTAGTGACACGGGCACGTGGCGAGGGGGCTTGCGTTCTAGAGGCACATTCACTCAGATCCAAGTTCCGCCACTTTAGGAGCAGCGTCCTGCCCGTCCTTGGGTCTCACTCCTCCTGTGTGGAATGGGGTAAGAATACCTACCTCATACGTCATTGTGAAGATTAAGTGGCACCAAAATTGTAAAAGCCTTGCAACTTTGAGTTGCAAGCTTTTGTAAGAGCTGAATAAATTGTGGCTATTTTTTTTTTAAACTCTGTGTCTTGTATACTGTAGGTGCCCGATGTGTATTTTTGTTGATGTGTGGGTCATTAGCAGTTACTGTCCATTCATTCTGTGCGAGACCTCAGTGACTCCAGCACCGGGGGCGTATTTCTGTGAATAAAGATTCTAGCCCCATCTCTCTGAAATTCAGTACCAGGAGACAGTCAGCGGGGAGGTTAAGAGCAAGCTGGTGATTTGGGGCCAGATGCTTCCCCTCTCTGTTCCTCTTCTGCTTCCATTTCCTCATCTATTAAGGGAGTGTGTGACAATAGGGGGCATAACTGAGGCAATGCCTGTGAGCTACAAAACTGGTCCACAGGACGGGCTCCCTCGTGACGGCCTTGCCGCTGCTGCGTCTGCTAAAAGCTGGCTCTAAGCGCTTCCTTACTTGTTCAAATTCATGTCCTCATTGACTGTGTTGGTTTATCTGATCAGTGACCAAGGGAAGAAAACCTCGAACTATGAGTGTAGACTTTCGGTTTCTCCTTTTACTTCTGCCAAGTTTTTAAAAAAATTGAGATATAATTAACGTACAATAAAATTCTCCATTTTAAAGGTTACAATTCAGTGGTTTTTCGTATATTCCCAAGATTGCACAATAATGACCACTATATAATTCTAGAAGAATTCCGTCACCCCCCAACCCCCCCAAAAAACCCCCTACTCGTTAACAGTCATGCCCCCTTCCCCCTCCCCAGTCTGCAGCACCCACTAATCTACTTTCTATGTCTATGGATTTCCCCATTCTGGAAATGGACTCATACAGCATGTGGCCTTTTGTGTCTGGCTTTTTTCACAGAACATAATGTTTTCAGGATTCATCCATGTATCAGTACTTTGTCGCTTTTTTTTTTTTTTTTTTAAAGATTTTATTCTTTTCCTTTTTCTCCCCAAAGCCCCCCGGTACATAGTTGTATATTCTTCGTTGTGGGTCCTTCTAGTTGTGGCATGTGGGACGCTGCCTCAGCGTGGTCTGACGAGCAGTGCCATGTCCACGCCCAGGATTCGAACCAACGAAACACCGGGCCGCCTGCAGCGGAGCGCGCGAACTTAACCACTCGGCCACGGGGCCAGCCCCAGTACTTTGTCGCTTTTTAATGGCTGAATAATATTCCGCGGCGTGGCTAGACCGCATTTTGTCTATCCCTTCACCATGTGGGTGGTTTTCGCTTTCTGGCTCCTCTGAATAATGCCGGTGTGAACAGTTATGGCACAAGTTTTTCTGTGAAATATATTTAAGTTCCCTTCTGACAAGTTTTGCTCTGTTATTTCATGTATACAAATAGAGAACTGTTAGAACTTCCTAATGCGTCGACCCTTTTATGAAACGTCCATCTTTATCTCTAGTAGATTTTTGCCTTAAAAATCTGCTATTATTAATTATGTGATAAATCTCTGTTCATCCTTTACTTTCAAGCCGCCTGCATCCTTATATTTCAGGTGGCCCTCTCGTGGGCATATCAGATTTAAAAAAATCAGTCTCTATTTTTAAACTGGAGTATTTACTACGCCGTATCTAGTATATTTACTGATACATTACATTTGGGCTTAGATGTACCATCTTACTACTTACTCTCTTGGTCTTCTTTGTTCTGTCCTTTTTGGCCTTCTTTTGGATTAGGGTTTTGTTTTGTTTTAAATTTCTCCTCTGCTAGCCTATGAGGACTGTGTTTTCTTTTCTTTTAGTGGTCCCCTAGGTTACAACGTGCATCCTTGACTTATTCAAATCTCTTTTGACTCCTTCCTCCACTTTCTGGACAATCCAAAGACCTGAGAGCTCTTCCTCCTCCTGCCTGTTGTGCTCTTGTCATCACGGATTCCCGTTCTCTGTTTCAAACTGCAGCCGGCATTATTATTAATACTGTATGCAGTCGGTATTCATTCAGGTGTATCCACATGTTTACTTTGTATTATTCTTTATTTGTTACTTCTTTCTTACTCTGTGTTCCTTCCCGCGTTTGCACACCTCTGTCTAGGGTCATTCTCCTAGAACTACTGTAGGAGTTCTTGTATACTTAGAAATAAATACTTTAGCATTTCCCTTCCAGTTCAGATCTTCTGGTGACAGATTGAGTTTTTGGGTGCTGAAAGTCTCTATTTTGCTTTTATTTTTGAAAGAGATTTTTGGTAAGCAGAGAATTTTGGGGTGCTACGGTTATTTTCCTTTGGAAGCTTTGGAAGCTGTCCTTGGCGTTCATTGCTTCTGTTGCGAAGGCGGCCGTCAGTCCCGTGACTTCCTTTATTCCCCTCTTTTCTGAGGTGGGGGCAGGCACAGGGAGAGCTCCTATGATAAGCTGTCTTCTTAGCAACTCACTGCGTTCTTACTGCAAATGTGAGCAGTCTGGCGATGTCGCTTTGCGGCCTGAAACTCCTCTGTGGCTCCCCAGTGCCTTCAGGAGCCAGCCGAGCTCCGATCCCTGGATGTGAGGCTCGTGAGGATGCTCTGTTCCCCCGCTCCCACCGCGCCACCCTCAGGTTTTCACGGTGGTCATTCCACCCGTTGATGTTCGCTTCCCTCATACCCCTACAAGGTTGTGCCTCTATTTTCTGCTTTGCTTATTTTGTTCCCTCCTTCCGGAATCCCTCCCCACCCCCCGCTTTGCTGGGCTAATTCCTTTTCCACCTTCAGAAAACTCAAGCCCCGTCTCTTCCAGGAAGCCTTCCCCAACCCCAGGTCAGTGGCAAAATGCTCCTCGTTCTTTTGCTCCCAAAGTGGTATCCTATTATGTGAAAGTGAGATGCTTCTGTGCCCGGCTCCCTGGCTAGAGCGGAAGCCCCTTGGGGTCCCTGAGTATTGCTCCTGCCCGCATGCTCTGTGTTTTTGCACAAACCGCTCTGTAAATCTGCACTGGCTGTTCACTGCATCACCCTAGGGCTGCTGGCTGCAGGGTTTTGTGTCACCTGCTCCCTGTCACCCTGGCCCTGAGCACCTTAATAGAGGCCACAGTGGCGACCAGAATTGTGCCCTCCAGCTCTAGCTTTTAGGATGGCGTCCGTTTCTAGCTGCCTCTGCCACTAACTGGCCTCTCCTAAGCATTTCCTTGTTAGGTTGGTTAGGAGTGACTGAAAATATTTTAGACCGATAAAACCACATTTCTTTATGTGAGATGCTAGATTCTCATTGCTCCGCATTCAAGGGGATCTCGAAAGTGTGGGAAAGGAAAAAGAGGAGGGACCCAGTCCTGGGATGCAACCAAGGGCTTTAATTGGAGGCAGCTCCTCCTGCAGTGGCTTTTTCAGGAGCGGAAGTGACTTGCTCGCGGCACGGGGGATGGCTCAGACATCTTCTCCTCTGCGGGAGTTTCCGAATCCGTCTTCATGACCTCTGTGCGCCGCCCTCTTCCTCCTGGAGACGCTCCAGCCGCTGTGCAGCCTCAGAGACCTGCATGGGGCTGCTGACTAGAAAGCTCAGGGTCTCCCAAGCATGCACCCCTTCACCACCCGATTGTTGGAGGGGTGGTGTGGGTGTCTCTTCTGCAAATTGTTTTTGCAGGAATCTCTGTTCACATCTGAAAGAGTGAAGGAAAATATTTATCCTTGGGAAGGGCTTTGCCTTACGCATCAATAAACAGTCTTGCTCATAGCCTGCTCGGGGATTGCTCGTCTTATTAATGGCTTTAAAAAAAATCCTGCTTGCTTGAGCTAAAAATAACCCCAAACTGGATTAAGCAATTGAGATTTTAGAGTTTACTTGTTAACCTCAGCCCAGCTGGTCCTGAGTAACACGCATATACAGTTACCATCTGTTGAGTGACTTCTTCACGTGGGGCCAAATTCTAGGCACATACGTTGCCTCATTTCTCCTCCTGACAACCTGAAACGTAGCTAGTGGGTTGTCATTGTCCCCAGATTGCAGAGGAGGATGCTGAAACGAACTCAGAGAGGTTCCGTGACGTGCTCAAGCTCAGCAAGGGGCTGAGGCAGAATTTAACTGGGATGCAGGACTAAAGCTAGTCATCTTAACTAATATCTAATAACTAATATAATCTTTAGGCTGTATTGTGGCGGGTTTGGGTAATTAGTCCCCTTCTGCAGCCCCAAAGGGCTGAAAGAAATATGAGGCTGCCCCAGTGGAAGGTAGGAAGACCGCGGTCCAGAGAAATAACCCAGGCCTTCTTGTCAACCGCCCCCCCCACCCCCCACCCCCCCCCCCCGCTCAACTGGAACCTACTGAAGACCCGAGGCTGAGGCTGGTGGGACGCTCTTGGGGAGCGAACGGTGGTTGGAGGCCCCTCGCTGGCCTGGCAGCAACAACAGAAGATCTTGGATGCCATGTTTTGGTGGGCCGTGGGGGGAGAGGAGGGCGCTGGGCCCCCTGCTCTGCAGCCGCAGTCCCAGAAGCCCATTGTTATTTAAGCAGTGGGTCATACTGGACCAGCCTCTCCCGTAGCCCTCCTCTCTCCCAAACCTCCTGTAGCTCCCTAGGGCTGGCTGGTCCAGACCCAGCTCCTTGGGCCTACCTCTGGCCAGTCCTTCCTCTTCCGTCCAAAGTTCTCTTACCCACGAAAGGACTTGGAGCCTCTACTCTGCCAGTCTTTACCTGCAGGGGCACCTTGTTGAATCAGCTTTTGGGGTCTGGCATGCTTCTTTGGGCGGGGCTGTTTGTTCAATGAAAATAAGACTGGCTGAAAATTGCCAGTCCCTCCTCTGCCAGGTCCTGTGGCAGCAGAACCCCAGCACGCACCGCAGCGCCCACAGACACACCTGTGTCCAGGAGGCAGATTTGCTTCTGCTTTCTTTCTTTCTTTCTTTCCTTTTTTTTGCTGCTGAGGAAGACTGGCCCTGAGCTAACATCCATGCCCATCTTCCTCCACTTTATATGTGGGATGCCTACCACAGCATGGCTTAGCCAAGTGGTGCCGTGTCGGCACCCGGGATCCGAACCGGTGGACCTGGGGCCGCCAAAGTGGAACATGTGCACTTAACCGCTGAGCCACCCGGCTGGCCCTGCTTCTGCTAAGTGTGTACTGTTGGCCAATTTTGTAACCTC